CTACGTGTTGAGCTCCGTATCAGTACGATACGTGTTGCGTGTTGCCGTGTTGCGTCTCGGGGCAGCTGAGCTGATTTTCCATCGGCTCTGGTGCATTGATAGTCGGGGTGCTCTCTTTTGCAGCCGGCTGGGACGTGTGGCCTGGAGGGGGCGAAGGGGGGCTTGCTTGGCAAAGTCTCGTACAGTGTGGGCGCGCATCAAGAAACCATCTAGTTTTCGTTAGGGTATCCTGGGTTTCTTCGCTCCGCGCGCTGCGCGGCGACTTCCCGCGGCCGTTGAAGGAGCTGCTGCGTTCAGGGTGCTCCAGGTTTCCCCTCCGGTGCACTTCGCGCGCGGGTTTTCAGGGTTGGGTTTCTTGCGAGGGTTTCTTGCGGCCGCGCCCGCACTGTATGACAGTGTTTCGAAGTGTACACCTTTTTCATCTCTAATTCTTCGAAATGTCTTTGATTTTTCAGGGGGCCAAGATCCTTTCATTTCTAATTGTTCTGTCCTGGGCCTCTTCCTGGCCGCCAGGGGGCCAGGAACAAGTAGAAACGAGCAGAAATAGAAATGAGCACGATTAGAAATGAACGACGTGTAGGTTACATCGACATCTTTGCTGTACCGACACTGCGCTTGCTTTGACGTATCGTGGCTTGGCCCTTGCGCCACACATCCATCTTTCGGACGGCCGAGACGCTTCGCTGCAGTCTGGACGTGGACTCCTATCGCTTCGAGGGGTGCACGTCCGGACCGCGAAGAGTATGGGCGTTTGGAGCCTCCTGGGAGCTGTTTGGGGACAACCATCGGGACAACCATCTGGGCAACCATCGGGACAACCATCGGCTCAACCATGGGGACAACCAACGGGACAACCATCTGGACAACCATCGGGACCACCATCGGGACACCAAGTATCGGGACAGCTCCCGGGACAACCATCGGGAGAATCAACGGGACAACAGTCGGGACAACCAAACATCGGGATAACCATCGGGACAACCATTGGGACAGCCATCGGGACAACCCTCGGGACAACCGTCGGGACAGCCATCGGGACAACCATCAGGACAACTCTCGGGACAACCCTCGGGGCAACCATCGGGACAACAATCGGGACAACCGTCGGGACGATCATCAGGGCAACCGTTGGGGCATCCATCGGGACAACCATCGGGACAAGAATCGGGACAACTCTCAGGACAACCGTCGGGTCAATCACCGCGACAACCGGCGGGACAACTGGCGGGACAGCCGGCGGGACAGCCGGCGGGACAACCCGGGAGCCGCCAGGAGCCACGGACCCGACGCGGGGGAGGCGATTCACCTCTGTCTGACAGAGCTCCGACAAAGGCAGGGATTCGCGCAGCTTCGCCTCGCCTCGCACGCAGGCGCGTCACGCACGAAACGAAACGATGCTCCAGCTGGGGTGGCTCAATATTTACTTCGGTCTCACCCCATCATCGTCATCACCACCATCGCCGTCGTGATCATCAGCTTCATCACCATCAGCATTGTCGTCGTCGACATTGTCCTGAGCGTCGTCATGATCATCATCGTCATCCTCGTTATCGTCATCGTCATCGTCGTTGTCGCCGCCCAGTTGAATTTTGTCAGCAAGTTGCGGGTGAGTGGGTGGGTGGGATGTTTGCACGAGCATCGGAGGTGTTCACGCGGGGATGCGGCCATCCATCATCGATTGCACCACGTAATTTGCTTGTACCACATCTATTTCACCACGTGGCGCGCATCACATAGCTTGTATTGCATGGTATATTGTGCACCACACAGCTTTCACCACATAGCGAGCACCACACAGCTTGCAGCTTGCACACACACATTGCATTCCATAGCTTGCACCGCGTAGCGTTCAAATAGCCAGCAAACCACACACATACATCCAAATGCAGATATGCGTACAGACATGTGTATGTATGTGTGTCTATATATATACACATATGTGCACTTAGCCTTAGCGCTACGCACAAAACGTATCGCGCCGCTGCAACACATGTGTTGCACATCGAAGGTGCACTATACTGCTGTTTAGGGCCCACTCTGGTTAGCATACACACGTGTGTGTATGTTTGTGTATATTTGTATACAAGACTGCAGTGGCGCTTCGCGCCATGCGCCTTGCTCCTTCAAATTTCGCACGCGCGCGGCGTGCGTGCGTGTGCACATGCGCGCGCGGATATGTGCATACATGTCATACGCGCGCACGTGCATGCACGCCATACATATATTCATACATATATATATATAGATATAGATGCTTGTGTGAGTATATGGATGTACTACGTATTTATATTTACACAGGCGTATATATCCATACTTGCGCATACATGTGTATCATGCCTACTTGGGCAGTTCTACATGTACACATCTGCATGTCTATATATATATATATATATATATATACACACAAATGTACGCGGTCGTGGCCACAGAGGAGGGGTGGCAAAAACGCAGTGAAGGGCTCGCGAGTGCCGAAAGACTTGGGTACGAGACGGCCTGGAGGACACAGCAGAATGTGGAACGGCGACCTGGGCTTACCAATGACCGTGTCTTTGGAACTACGGAAGAAGCCGTGTGAGGGTCTTGGGGGGCCTCGGGACCGTGTCGCAGCGGGAGTCGACGCTGAAATTATTGTGCGCCGCAGTGTGCTCTTGGGAGGCCTCGCGTTCAGAGTGTTAACGTCACGTGGACCTTATTGGAGCCTCCCAGAGCCATCTGAGGGCCTCTGTGGGACGTGGTGCAGTCCCGTCAATGCTTGGGCCCGTTTTGGGGCGCGTATTGGCTCTCTGTCTTGGGGTCATATTCGGGCTCCTGGCCCGTTTCGGGCTTGTCTTGGGGGCCTTTTACTTCTGTGGGGTTCTTGCGGGATTTTTTGGGACTCTTGGGGGCCTCTTTGGGCTTCCTGAGAGCCGGCCTCTTGGGGGGGCCTCTTGAGAACCTCCTGGTGCCGCCTGGGGCCCTGTCGGGACTGTCTGGGGGCCCCCTTGGGCCGGTTTGGAGACCTCTTGAACCAGTTTGGGGCCCTCTTGGAGGTCTGTCGGGCAGTCTTAGGGAGATCTTGGGGGCCTCGTGGGCCGTCTTGGAGCGTCGGGAGCCGAAAAGGGGAGAATTCAAAAATCCCCCACAAACCAACGGAACATCTATGAATTTTGCCTCGTGGGGCCCTCTTGGGGCTGCTCTGGGAGGCCTCTTGGGACGTCTTGGAGCGAGCTCGAACTTCTGTGGGACCCTTGCGGGATCTTTTGGGACTCTTGGGAACCTCTTGGGAGTTCCTGGGGGCCTCTTGGGGGCCTCTTGGGGCCTCTGCGGGGCCTCTTGGAGGCCTCCTGGGGCCTCCTGGGGCCCTGTCGGGACTGTCTCAGGGTCATCTTGGGCCGGTTGGGGGCCCTCTTGGAGGTCTGTCAGGCCATCTTAGGGCAATCTTGGGGGCCTCGTGGGCCGTCGTGGAGCGTCGGGGGGCCGAAAAGGGCAGAACTCAAAAATCCATCACAAACCAACGGAACATCTATGAATTTTGCCTCTTGGGGCCCTCTTGGGAGTGCTGTTAGAGGCCTCTTGGGACGTTTTGGAACGATCTTTGGGAGTACGACGGCTCCTTTGGGGTCGTCGTCGACAGTCTTGGTGCTCTCTGGGGTCGTTTCAGGAGCGCGCCGGAACGTCGGGAGCCATCTGGGCCCGTCTTCGGGCTCTCGTGAGGTCTTCCCAGGTCGTCTGGGGGCTGCCCGAAAAGCCTGGGGTGGGCCAAATTCGTTAGGGGAGGGGTGCGCTTTTTCTTGGGCTCCCGGCCCTATGACATTATTTTGCGAAGGACCCAACCATATGCAGTTGTGTGTATCGCAATTGTGAATATCTTCTTCGGTGAAGCTCCCTACGGGGCCACGAAGCGCTGCACTGGGTGGGGGGGAACGCATGCGGGCAGTAGCACTGGGGCCGTCGGTGGAGCTCCCTATGGGGCCACGAAGCGTTATACTGGCTGGGTGAAAATGCCAAATTGGGTGTGTGGGACGCATGCGGGCGATCCCACTGGGGGCTTCGATGGAGCTCCCTATGGGGCCACGAAGCGCTGCACTGGGTGGGGGGGAACGCATGCGGCCGGCAGCGCTGGGGCCGTCGGTGGAGCTCCCTATGGGACCATGAAAAGTTGTATTGGGTGGGTGAAAATGCCAAGTTGGGTGTGTGGGACGCATGCGGACGGCGGCAGTGGGGGCTTCGGAGGAGCTCCCAATGGGGCCACGAAGCGCTGTACTGGGTGGGTGAAAATGCCGAATTGGGTGTCTGGGACGCATGCGGGCGGTCCCATTGGGGCCGTCGGTGGAGCTCCATATGGGGCCACGAAGCGCAATACTGGGTGGGTGAAAATACAAAATTAAATTTTCGGGATGCACGCGGACGGTGGCATTGGGGGCTTCGGTGGAGCTCCCAATGGGGCCACGAAGCGTTGTACTAGGTGGGTGAGAATGCCGAATTGGGTGTGTGGGACGCATGCGGGCGGTCTCATTGGGGCCGTCGGTGGGGCTCCCTATGGGGCCACGAAACGCAGTACTGGGTGGGTGAAAATGTAAAAGTAAGTTTTCGGGACGCATGCGGACGGTGGCACTGGGGGCTTCGGTAGAGCTCCCTATGGGGCCAGGAAGCGCTGTACTGGGCGGGTGAAAATGCCAAATTGGGTGTTTCGGGACGCATGCGGACGGTGGCACTGGGGGCTTCGGTGGAGCTCCCAATGGGGCAACGAAGCGCTGTACTGGGTGGGTGAAAATGCCGAATTGGGTGTTCTGGGACGCATTCGGACGGTGGCACTGGGGGCTTCGATGGAGCTCCCTATGGGGCCACGGAGCGCTGTACTGGGTGGATGAAACGCAGTGAGGGAGGAGGAGGGGGGATGGGGGAGGAGGGAGGAAGGAGGAGAACGCGGGGACCGTCTCTTCAAAACGAGGACTCAACACCACAGGATGGTTGGGAAATATATGAAAAGGAAAATGGTTTGCGTGTGCGTTCGGAACCAGGAGCATCCGATGTAGCCGTGGACATCTTGGACTCCGATGAGGAGCAGCGTGAGGCTGGTCCCGACCGCGCACCACGTCTCCGCAGCTGCTTCGCCAAGGACGCTGCGGCGTGCGGTCTGCCCGTGGCGGAGGTGGCCGCCGCCCCTTTCTGCCCTGAGCGCAAGTCCGAAGAAGGATCGCCGGCCAGGGCCGTCTTGGGGCAGCGCTCGGGCTCCCAGTCGGCGTGCGAGGGCACCACGACGCCGCTCGGGACCGATGGATCCCCAGGTGCTGTCAAGCCCCCGTGTCCGGCGCCCGAGCAGAGCCCCCCGCCTGGTGGGCCGCAGACCGCGCTTGCAACGGCGCTTGGCGAGCTGTGCAAGTCCGACGCACGGGGGGGTTCGCCGGCCTTAGTCCAAGGCGGCGGCAGCGCTTCAGCCCTCAGCCCCGAGGCCTCAGAGGCTGTCGCGGTGCCGATCGCGGCCACCGCCACGCCGCCCAGCGCGCCTCTGCACGCCAAGCGCGAGGCGACTCCGGCTGCCGCAGCGCCGACCACGGCGCCCGCTTCGCCGCCCAGTGCACCTCTGCACGCCCAGCACGAGGCGACCGAGGTTGCCGCGCCGGCGACCACGGCGCCAGCCACGCCGCCCGGTGTGCTGCCTCACGCCCTGCACGTGGCGACCGAGGCTGCCGCAGAGTCAACCACGGCGCCCGCTACGCCGCCCACTGGGCCGCTGCACGCCCAACACGGCAAGGCGACCACGGCGCCAGCCACGCCGCCCAGTGTGCCGCTGCACGCCCAGCATGAGGCGATTGAGGCCACCACGGTGCCGACCAGGGCGCCCGCCACGCCGCTCACTGCGCCGCTGCACGCCCAGCACGAAGCGACTGAGGCCACCACAGTGCCGACCGCGGCGTCCGCCACGCCGCCCAGGGCGCCGCTACACGTCCAGAACGGGGCCATTACGACAAGGCCGCCGCCCGACGATTCCTCAGACGATGATTGGGGTACCTGGAAGATGAAGGACACAGCGAAGCCGTCAGCGTTCCCCGCTGCCAAGGGAGCGTGCGCGGATGCTTCACCACGAGCTTCTGGAGTTTCGAGTGCGAGCAGCAGCACCTCTGGCAGCACATCCCCCAGCCATTCCGCCAGCGCGTCCCCGTCCACAGTAGGGGGCAACAGCGAGCGAATCATTGTGCAGGTGAGGGCGCTGTCGAAGGAGGGGGCGAACACTACAGAGTTTCGGATGCGGCCGACGAAAACCTTCGACAAGCTGATGAAGGTGTGGTGCGATGGGCAGAAGCTTGGCAGCCAGGCGGTGCGCTTCCAGCGTGCTGGATCCGAGGTGCTCCCTGGGGACACCCCAGAGGCCTTCGGCTGGAAGAGCGGCCAGCGGGATCCTTTGCTGATCAGCGCGGTTCCCAGGGACGTGCACGAGGTAGCCGCAGCGCTCGCTGTGTGGCCTGCGCGCGCCGCAGCGGAGGCGTCGTCACTGCCGCTGCGCCGCCGGCAGGCGTCCGTGGGCGCGGCGGTCCCTGCGCAGTCGCCCGCCAGGCCCGCCAAGGCGATCCCCACGCAGTCCCCGCGCAGTCGCTCGTCTGCGGCCAGCGCAGCTGCAGGCCGCGCGGCTGCAGAAACAGCAGAGGGACGACCCTCTCGCTCGCACGCGGTAGACTTGACGCTGGGGAAGCCACCGGGCCAGGTGCCGCCTCGAAAGGCGGAGTGCCGCAAGCTCGCGCGGGCCAAGGCCGCGGCGGTCTTCATGCCCGATCGGGCCAGGCGGGAGGCCAAGACGAGAGCCGTGGCGGAGGCGCAGGCGAAGCGGCTGGGTTCATCTGGCCTTCCAGGCGAACGCCGGCAGGAAGGCAGAGCCCACCAGGCCACAACGCTGCAGCGTGCGGATGGCTCGAAGCGCAGGAAGCACGCCGACACGAGGCGGAATGACCCCGCGCACTCCCGCCTGCCAGGCACCTCCGCAGCCCCCCGCCAGCGGGGAACGGCAGCGGCCATCGCGGACATGGGCACTGGCGCTGGAGCTGCCTCAGACATCGCGACTGAGCCTAGGCTCGGGCGTTTCGTAATGGAGGCGACGAGAGACTTCTTTTTTGAGGTCCTGCGATGACCTGGGTTATTGGCTGGCCCCCCCCCCCCCCGGCCCCCCCCCCCCCCTGGACAACCCTACCTCGTCGGTCGCGCAGGGCCCAAGGGGGTAAGCAGTACTGGCGCGCGCGGGCACGCGCGGGACTGCCCAAGGTCAAAAGGTTAGGTCATCGGCCGCCCTCCCCCCCGCCCACTGGATAGCCCAGCTTATCGCCGACAAGATGCAACAACCATATTTCTAGGGGGGGGGGGGAGCGGGTAGTTGCAGGAAGGGGGCCTTCGAAGGGGCCCCGACGGTGCACGACAGGTGCACCTCTCTTGACATCTCCGGTTTGTACCCCCCCTACGTAGTCCAGGCCTCCCAGGTGGGGTGCGGCTCGATGTGGAGCTGGATTTCCTCCACGCCGATGTCGCCGATGCATCTGCGATGCAGGGGCGATGCGGCGCCATCCTTGGACCCCATCTGCTCGAACCCCCTTAACGGGGTCGTCAGCGCGGCCATTGACGCGCAAACTGCCCGCGCAAGGTCACGCGTCAGCGCCCTCGTTTCCAGTGTGGCGTGCCGCTCTGGCGGCCCGCGAACGCCGTGGCGTAAAGTCGCTTCGTCTTCTCGCGCAAGGCCCGGGTCTTTGCGTCGCTCATCGGGGAGGCCGTGGTTGTTGTCAGCTGTACTGGTAGTGGCGCTTTCATGTCAAAATGACAGCTGGTGTTAATCCCCCCTCCGTTTCAACTCGTGCTTTTCAATTGAAGTGCCCCTCCTTTGGGCGCACCCTGTTTTTTCCAAGTGGGAGTATTGAGCCTCAGACTGCCCCTGGCCCACGGTTTACAACAACAATGGCTCCCGACTGATACTTCCTCAGACGCCGCGCCCTCGACACACAGGAATTACGCTCTCGCTTTGGACGTCCTCACAATTTACTTGGAAGTCGCGCCGTCGCTCGAGACTGCCTCGCGATCGTTGCAGGACTGATGCTTCAGCGACCCCCCTCCTGCTGATCCTTCTCATTATCCATCCTTCTCCCTTCCCCCTTGTCCCTTCCCGCCTCTCTCCCTTCTCCCGTTTTAGGGGTTGCGCAAGCTACACGTTGCAAGGAGTACCGATCCCCAAGGGCGGTACGGTCGAAGACGAAGAGGGCGGGTATCGAGGATCTGGGGTATACATGTCGAGTGACACTCGAGCAGATAAGAGCAAGCCGTCTTACACGCATTGTTGTTCCCAACCATCCTGTGGTGTTGAGTCCTCGTTTTGAAGAGACGGTTCCCGCGTTCCTCCTCATCCTCTCCTCCGCCTCCCCCTCCCTTCTCCCCCTCCTCCCTCCCCCCTGCGTTTCACCCACCCAGTACAGCGCTTCGTGGCCCCATATGAAGCTCCACCGAAGGTCCCAGTGGCAACGCCCGCATGCGTCCGCCACCACC